TGCTATAATGGTCAGCAGGGGTCCATCTGGAAGTGACAAACAGACCTGAAATTAAAATTTAAAAATCCAGAGTTTATCCTCTGCTTCAAATGTTGAGCTAGATAATAGGTTTCTTCCAACTGGTCTTTAGTTTTGAATGTGTTATTTTTCCTGAAAATGCAGCAATTTTACTGATCTTTTAAGGATGTTAGTAATTGTAGGCAAGAAAGGTCTTGGCCTCAAGTGCTGGTTTGCTTTGGCTTTTTCTCCTGCTTGACAAATCGGTGCTTGTTCCTCCTCCTCCCCACTGTTGCACCTCCTTAATTCCACTTTACAGAGGCATTACTTCAGTGTCTTGTCACATGACCTTTTGTTTAAGGATAAATTTTCCTGAGTGCTAAGTCTTACAGCAACTTAGATACTGCCAAATCAAAGTCAGAGTAAGATGTACACTCCTGAAGTCAAGGTTTTCAAAGAGAGATGACTTTTTCTGACTTCTGTTGATTTATTACTACTCTGTACTTGAAGACTTCTGAGGACTGTGTGGCCAAGTCACATCTGAAAGTAGCATTAAGGTCCCAAAGCTACTAAGGCAGTTTTGTAAAATGCAAAATGCAACTATGGTCCCTTTCTCTTGCATCTCACAGGTTGGAAGGAACAAAGGGCTGTTTCCGAGTGTTTTGATTACAATGTGAAACCTGGGTATGCCCAAAACATTGCTGGTGTGATTCTTTGTCATTACTGTAGGTGATTAGGAAATTTGAAAGAGCTTCCTTATGGATACATGATTAAATGTTGGTTCAAATGATTTGAACTGAGGTAATGAGGACATAACTGGTCTTTTGAGGGCTGTGATCCAGGCTGTTATGTCTGAGTTGAAAGCTTAGTTTTACTTCACTCCCTTCAAAATCCAGAGTGTGCCAGAAACATGACCTTTGCAAAGTATCCAGAAGCATTCTCGAAGAGGAGATGGGAGGTTCAAAGGAAGGAGTAACTCCAAAAGCTGTTCCTGTTGCAGCTAGTTTGTATTAATTCTGTCTCGACCACGTAATAAAAACAACTTTCCTATTCATTATGCTGAAAGCTGAGTACATAACGTATCAAAATGCGGTTTTAAACCAGCAAGACTACTGGACAGTAGATCAGCTGTGTGCAACAGAGTGTTGCCTCATGCCTGGTTGGGACTGGAGACTTCTTTGGAACGACATTGTGTGATAGATGGATAAAGCACCGATGTCACCTTGCCACAGAATTTGCAGTGCTCTTCACAAAGGAGTTTGTGTTTGGTTTTTGTGGAGCAGCATACCTGTATAAGCAGAGAATTTGGTCATGATTCAATTAATGTTTCTCACCCAGCGTTCCTTTTGCTAAAAGGGAAGTCCAGCTGTCTTAAGAGACATTTGTGCAGATGAAGCTCATAAATATTGCTGAATTTGCAAACAGCATATGAATTTGTTCTTGGATTTACAAATGAATAGTTAATGAATACTAGTTCATCTTTCCATAAAAAAAGATAAGGAAAATGAGTTGTCATGTGAAACTTGGCCCTCAAGCCTAAAATCAAATTACTGAAGACAGTCAAGAAATTGTAAGATTTAAGGTGGTATGTGACATGTTTTTGAATAGACAAAATTAACTCAGTCATTTCCCAACAGCTTAGTGCTCGATTTGACCCCAGTAACATTTCTAAAAGTACATTTTATATATATGACTTTGTGGAGGCATACCGATCTAGAACACAGGCACGTACCCTTCCAAGCAGAGCTTGGAGAATGGTACAGCATAGGGGAGGATCCAGTGTTTTAGGGTGATAAGGCAAAGCTGGGGAGCCACCAGAAAGAAGAGCCCCTTGAATGATGTTTGAGAGTAGGAGCAGAATGGAAGTCAGCAAAAGGCCTGAGGGAAGACGTACCTTATGCTGCTGGCCCAGGGCGAAAAGAGGAATTTCCTTGGAACTGCGGATCCAAGACTGTCAGTACTGTTTGGTTGTTTGGGTTTACAAGGAGAAACTGTTTAAGCAAGGAAAAGGCTCCTGTGAACTTACCTTGCAAGAGAGCAGCTCCTGCTGCTGTTTGATTTTAGAGGTCACATACAAGGACAACACACAGGTCATTTACACACTAGGCAGAATTTGAAATTGCATCCTTGCTGGATTAGCATTACTCGATGTGTCCTTCCCTACAACATCACCTTCTGGAGACCAAGTTCTTCAGTCTTTTCAACAAGTTTATTTTATATCCAATCCTAAAATGGAAGAGATGAGTGAAAACAGTTTAAAGATCCCCTGCTTGCTTCAGGCTGTCCTTGGGCCGCTTCTCAGATGTGGATGCACTTGTGCAAGTCTGCCTTGAGGGGACTGGAGTTAATCTGGGATTGCGCAGGAGCAGAACACAATACCTTTGCCATGCTCACTTACAGTGAAAGCATCACATGCATTTCCTCCTGCCCAGCAGCAGTGCACATGGTTCCTGTATGGCAAGGAAGGGCCAGCAAGGCAGAGGTGCCCCCTCTTCCACCCCTCCTCGGAGCTGGCTACCTCCCACCTGTGCAGAAAGAAATGCTTTGGGATCTGTGCAGCTCCTCCTAGAATAGCTGCAACACAAATTTTTAAAAAGTCCCCTTTTCTCTCACCAATAGTGGGTCACTTAGTCTTCCCCCTTCCTTTTAATCTTAATTAGATCAGGAGGAGGTAATCTGCTGAATGCAACCCCTAACACCTGTTACTGTACAGGAGACACTCCCTATGTTCCAGGAGGATTACCACAAGCCTGATTACAGCAGCATGAGAGCCCCGTGAACCCAGGTCATGGGCACCATGGAGGAATCTTATCATAAGTCTAAGGCATCTAGAAATGATTTCCAGGGCATACCTATGTATTCTGACAAGATCTCTTATACATTGGCTGGGGATAACGAGCAGATCAGACTAAAGGCTACTGTTGGCACATTTTCTGTGTGCCAGAGCTTTAAAGTATTTAAAAATGTGAAATATATATTTAGCAAAGTTTCCAAAAGTGCCTCTTAAAAAAAAAAAAAGGGCGCAATTCTGGACTTAGTCTTTTTTTAACTTTCTGGCTCTGTCTGTATAAAGCAGTAAAGCAGCCACCACAATATTGCTGCCAGAAGAGGTATGTTTTTATTACATCTATTGACATACTTTCACATGCAATTTTATCAGAGACAAAGCACAGCTGGGCTTTAACTTGCTGTTGAAGATGAAACCCAATGTACAGTAGCCTAATTTCACTGAAAAAAACCCCAAGACTATTTTATTGTTAAAAATCCCTTTGGAGATACCTCAGCAATTCTGTTTTGTAGAACAAATAATTAAACAAAATGTATAATTTTGCTTTAGGGTGTTGTGAGGACAAGTGATTAATATTTGTAAATTACTCCATGAAAATCATTCCAGTTACAAGACTGTATGTGTTTCACCACTAAACAAGTCCAGAACAATTAGAGATTTGTGAAGCAAACACACAGCTATTCACAGGAGAGGGGGGCAGAAATAACTTTTTCTGAACCTGTTCCAGGGTGAAGTGTTACACGGCCCAGGTTCTCAGAGCACATGGAAGGGTCCCAGCACACGCAGTGCCCAAAAGTACAGGACCAAGCCTGAGGCCATCGGCCCTGCTGAGGGCAGGGTATTAAGCTAAGGCTCAGCTGGACATTAGCACAATTAAACAGCCTCCAGACTGGAATCAGCTTGAAGCCTGGACAAAAGCAGCCTGCAAAATAAAATACCTTGTAAACATACCTTCAGAAAGAGCTCTTCATGAAGTATCATGTTGTGGGGCGGTTACAGCTTCTTTCCATCCGTTCTCCAGGCCAATGGGGAATCTCATGTCTGCCAGCAGGTTCCTTCAGACCAGAGTTTTCCCCAAGAGGGAGCACTGAAGCTTTTCTTTCAGGAGCAGGTGCTGGTAGTTCAAGGACAGCATGCAGAAAACCAGTCATAAACATAACCAAAATTCTTCTGTCAACAATGGCAACAAAAAAGCTGCCCAAACCCCCTCAAACACATTTCTCCCTCCCCCCTTCACCCAGACAAAGCACACTGAAAAACATTAGGGCCTAATGCTGAGGATTTCAACCTATAAACTCTAAATTTCATAAATTCTAAGGAGAGGAGGAAGATGGAGAAAGGGAACAGAGCTGCCAGGAAAGGTATCAAGAAAAGCAAAATCATTTACCTGATTATGGATTTTTCAAGTGATTTACAACTCCATTGGAAAGCAGTAGTCCTTTGGGCTTGTGACCTCCTGCTTACTGCTTTTAGCTGTTAAAAGTTCAAGCGAAAAGATGGTGACTTTCACTAAAAAGAATTTGAAATAATAACAAATCATGTCATTTCCCCGGCAAAAGTTTTGTATATTGGAGAAGTCAGTCTATTTAGTTAAAAAAAGCATCTAGTGGGAATACATCAGGCAAATAGGGCTGTCTGTTTTGCACTGGCACAATGGTGTTCTGACCCCATTAGTTGATGTGGGGCTGTAGAGTGTGTACATCAATTTTTACACCCAGCTGCACGGTATCCAAACCAGCCTTAATCAGAGGTTTCCCCAGACTCTTTTTGCAGAACAGATAACTGGATTTGTTCTGATTTTTAATCACCTGCATTGTGGCTATGCATCCCTTTGAGCCTAGGAAGTGCCATAAGCCAGCTTAAAGCATCAGGGTTCTTTCGGGGATCTGCTTGACAGACAAACCCACTACAAAGGAGAGGATTGAAACAGACCTTTTTAAATGGCAAGTATCATTTGGAGGTGCAGAGCAGGAATAAACCTAGTCCAGTTCCCTGAAAATGGAAAAGACTGGGGCTGCAGGGGATGAGGCATCCCTGAAGCTTAGACAATCCAGATTTCCCCTTTCAAATTCTGTGGGTTGGCTCTACTTTCCTATGAGACTGAATTGCTAATAAAATTAATTAGAAGCATCATAACTTGGTCATCCCAAGAGTTTTTCTACTTGAAGCAGTCATTAATTATTCTGACTAAGATTGTCTGTCTTTCTATTTATAGGCTGGCCGTGGGCTACACTGACTGTTCTTGGGTTCCTGTACTGCTATTCTCACGTTGGAATTGAATGGGAGCAAACGTATGCTGTGAATTAGGAATGACGCAAAACCAATGATTTTTAAGACAGGTTGATGGCTTTTCTACACTGGATATCCTATCTGCAGAAGGATGGGCTAGACCAAGCCTTTGGCCAGTGTGCTAAAACCAAAAGCTCATTTAATGGATTCTGGATTGTGAATGCAGGAATTGAACCAGAAACACTGAGGGGCTGTGGCTGAGGGTGGGGAGAAATTATGGAAGCATTTTTAATTATGTTATTTTTGTAAAACAGTATCTCTGTGACTATGTACATTGCAAGCATCTCAGAATAGGTATTTTATGTATGTTGAAGATTGGTTTTGTTTCTTCCAATGTTTTCCTGCCTATTTTGAGATATTGAACAAAAAAATTCCTACCTTGCAGAATTCAAAAAGCCTGATCTCTCACAGCCTCTGTCCAGGGGCATACAGGGCTGTGCCCTGTGCTTAACAAAGGGCATGATGCTCATCAGTTCTTCTTGATTGCTTTCTGATACAAGTTAGAACATTTTTGCTACTCTCACTGACTGCAGTAGTTCAGCCTTAAGCTACTTTTCTACCTACTGTAGAAAAGTCTGCTTTTTCTCTTCAATGTCTTCATTTAAAACTTCACCTTTAAAACACTGGCCTTTTTTGGTAGTCTTGGGAATGGTTTTATTTGTTTCTTTAAAAACAGGGAGTAGGGAGGCAGGTCTTTTCTTAAGGAACAGCTTTTCTTTTTAATCAAATATGACCTTACAGCCCCTTGGGCTTTAAGTGGTCTCTGCCTTGTGTTAGAGATAAAGCATATAATACTAATTTTATTACGGGGCAACTCCCACCTTCAAGGGAACTGTTCAGTCTGCCTTCTGCATTTTTTCTGTTATGAAGGGAGATAACCCAGGTCTGGCTGAATGGTAAATCTGTTCAGTTCACTTCATTCTCTGGTGTCCAGGCAATCAGCTCCTGCGATATTAGTCACCCTAGGAGTAGCATTTTAAGAACTTTAAAAAAAAACAGAATGGTCCAATACAGTAGCACCAAATTAGCCTGAGCTCCATGTCCTGTGCCCACAGCCAGACCTGTTACAGCAGCATCTTTGCCAAAAGACTAGGTTGCCCAGAGCTGGGAAGATCCTGCCTGCCTGCAAGCATCAGGGCTGTGGGAGTGGTTCAGCACATGCCATTTTCTGAGGGAAGGGGTGCCAGCCAGGAGTGGGGTCTCAAGGGGTGTCTCCCAAGCTGTTATTTTTTAAACTGATATTGAAGAGCAGCCAGGAGACCTTCAGTCTTTCTATAAAGTTAGACATTCCCCCTAGGCCTGGCAAAAGGCCACCAGTCCTGGAGAGGGCTTCTTCCAAGAGCAGTCTCCTGTAGCCAAAGAAGAAGGACTCCTGTCAAAACTTGTTCTGTACCCCCTGGCAGCCATTCCAGCCTGTTGGGAGGCACAGTTAGCATCCTACCATCCATCACTCCTGCAGCTTCAGCCAAGTCTGATATAGCTTATCCCTTCAAAAAGAAATTCAGTCCCTGAGACAGGCTTCCGCTTAGTGCCTGCATTTCTGATGTCTCTGCTGCTCAGAACTATGGCAGCTGCCTTTTTCCCCTTCATTTATTCCTGAAGAAATAAGGGCAGAGGCTTCAGCTCTCTACCCATCCAGAGACAAAGCCCATCTCTTGCCTTTTCAAAGCAGAAGCTCCAGCCCTTTATGTTTAGGGAAAGATTCCCCCATCCCCTGTGAGAAAGCTGTGATTTCCCCTGGAAGTCATTTCTAAGAGATACTGTGGACTGTTGAAAATAAGACTTACCTTGAATGCTGCCTGGCCAGAGACATGGCCCTCCTGATTGACTTACTATGACTGAAGGAATTCTCTCAGCCACAAAGTATGTTGCTCTCAGCCTCTGAATTTACTAAAAGGATCTGAGATTGGCCTTTCATTTTGGAATAGAACTGAGCTAAGGGCAAGAACTTTCTCAAACTTAACTGCAACATTGTAATTAAGTGGAATTAGCATTGGAGCAAAAAGTCATGAGTCTGTTCTTCAGTCTTATCGATTACTGTTATTATATGAAACAAGCAGCTACTAAAGTGATTAGATTCCAATTTGTATGCATGCAAAACTTCCTACTCCAATGTGGAAATGACCTTGAAGGTCATCTAGAGTATGCTTATTTCTGAACTCATGTTGTTTTATATTTTTTTTCAGTGCTTTATACATCTTTCATAGTTTTGTATCCTTTTCTGTTTCTATAAATAAAGCTGCAACTGACTTTTGGCTTGAGAACTGTGTCTTAGAGAACTACGGTTTGGTGCAAGAAAAATAGGTGCTCCACTTTTGTGAAGAAACACTACTATGCACCTTAAGCCTGCAGGATGGGTGCAATACAGGCTGGTTATCCCTATTGTACACTGCATAGAAAATGCATTCCCTAATGGTGTGAGTTTAAAAAGCAAATGCACCTTTTGCAGATCAGTTAAGGTGAGACTTCAGCATGTGAAGCTTCTGAGAATGGTCACCAAGAGTAGTATGCAAGTAAAATGCTGCTTCCCTTCAAACGCTTGCTATCCTGGTCCCAAGTCAGCAGTATGATGTGTGCTTGCACCATTTAAGAAATAGATACTATTATTTCCTATAGTTTAGATATTTATCATATGAGAAATAAATAGATTTGCTTCACTCTCAGTCTTTCCAGAGGTTCTTTGTCCTGCTACTTTGAAATATATGTCTCAAGAACAAGCCTACTCACAAAGTTTCTGTTCTATCCTGCTTATACAGCACCAGTAGGCAAGGCATGGGGCACACTTGGTCAGACACCCAGCTCTGTGAAGTGCTTCAGTGTAGTCAGTTATACTTTCAGCTTGGAGACACATTCCTCAGCATGACCTGAGAATTTGCTCTTCATTATCACGTGGCACCTGGTGTAATTGTGTGGTAGCCAGAAGTGCCATCCTCCAAGCAAGTCCTCTGTGACAGTCCTAGAGAAGTGAAGGCTTGCAGAGACCAGGAAGAGACTGAAGTAGACACCCCTCTTACCAAAGGAAAAAATAGGTGAGGGGAGGGGGAGAAAGACTTCCAAACACTAAGGAAAAGCTAGTTGAGGGACCTAGGAAACAGCTGACAAAGACAGAAATTGCCAAAGACATTGGCCATTTTGAACCAAAGGGGAGGCACTTGTAGTTGGGTGTGGGTACACTACTACTGATAGACCCTAAAAGCCGCAAGAGTGCAATGACAAAAAAAAACCCCAAGGTGGTGGCTCTGAAACTGAGCTGGACAGACACGGGATGGCTACTGACAAAAACAGTTTACAAGTGATTTTGAAAAGCTGCTTAAGAGACTAGCAAGCATAGCATATCATAATATATGGCTTTAATGGCTACCACAAAGCCGTAGTAATCAAGTCTCTTGCACACATATACAGCCTTCCCCTAACCCCCTCTTTGGCTAACAAAGCCCTCCCAGCCATCATTATTACTGGGGACAGTAAGATTATGCTAAGTAAGTGGCTCTTTCTTTAATTCTTCATTGATTAGAGGGTGAGCAATGCTTTGCTCACGTATCTCTTTCACATCTGAGAGCTAAAAGCAGCTTAGTTGCAATAACCAGCTTACCACAGGTCAGGAGAAAAACAGCTTAACTATGAAAACCTGCAGCAGTTTTGTTACTAGTCATAGCAATAACATAGGGCCTGTCCTTTTTCTCACACATCCGCTTAATTTCCTCTGTCACTGCTAACCCTTGAGCTGGTTGCAGCTCGCACTTGCTAAGGAGAGGCTTGCCTTCCTCAGGCATGCTGGCATGATTTTCCTCAAGGAGCTGTGAAGAGCAAGGAGATTGCTATGCATGGTCTGTCACAGCTTCTCCTGCCTGCACTTTATAGTCCGTCCCCCACTTCCCTGAATAGCACTGCCCATTATTGCTTTGCAAAATAACTCTCTCCGCGCACAACCACTTGTTAGTCAAGGCATGTATTTTAATCCCACAGGGACAGCTGAAACCCTGCTCTCCACAAAGCCTGTGAAGAACTCTGAGGCTGTAACACCTCTGAGAAATGAGGGGAAATCTGCATGCAATAGATGATTGTTTCTCATCTTAAGCGACCTCTGAGAGTGACCCTCTGGAGTGGGAGTCTCTGCCAACCCCCTGCAGACATGGGATGCACAGTGGTGTTGTGTGCATGTGCACCGAATTCAGTAGTTTCACCAGTAGCTGCCTGTGGGCAGTTCGTTCATTAGTTGCATGTAAAAGGAAGAAAAGATGAAGACAACTATTTTATTTGAGATTTCCACTTTCAACAAATGCAGTCATGTCAAGCACAGGTGCTGCCAGAACATCAGAGAATGAGAAGAGTCCCAGCTGCCCACGGCACGAGTGACCTACGCCTGAGCTTACTGCAGATGGACCAGCTCAGCTTGGGCATCTCCAGCCTGGGGGGCAAGCACTGCCAGCTCCAAGCTTGAGAGGCTTTCAGGGATGCCACTAATGCCCAGGAGGAGAAGAAAAGGAAAAGAAAATGTCTAATGGATCTGACCCATGTACTTTAGACACCATGCAAGAGACTGAGCAAGAGTGTCAAGGCCCGACTTCCAAGGCAGCCTCAGTGCCACTCCCACGAGCTTTAGCAGGGTAAAAGTCAGTCCTCCAGCCTCATGCAGCATCGCTGGCCTTGGAAACTACTGCTCTGGGAGGAAACAAGCATGTGCACTCAGTACCCAACACTGATGACGACAGAACGAAAGCTACGCAGTTAGGGGAATCAAACACACTTACAGATACTCAAAAAAACTCCTCGTTCCTTATGCTGGGAGTCACAAAGGTCTGGGTGAGCGCAAGTTAAGCTGTCTTCAGTATTTAACAGGCAAATTTTGACCACAAGCTAGGCTGCACCACCTTTCATCATATCCAGGGTCAGTTTGGTCTAAGTGTAAATAACCTTAGGTACCTGCATACCAGTGCCTTTCAGAAACGGGTCAAATGAAACAGGCTACCTGTGGCATATGTGGCATATCCCCAGCAACAGCCAGTCTACAGGCAAAA